CAAGTAATGAACTCCCTAAAAGTACAATAGACTCGAACAGGAGCCAATGGCTCTATGAGACAGCAAATACTAAAATCAAAAGATTAAAAAAATTGAAAAATAGATGTTTGCTATTAAAAAAATCTGACATGGAAAATGAGATAATTTAGGGGTCACTGTACTCTCTGAAAATTATGACTTAAAAAAAACAGGACATTATGTTTCAAGAAATGATATATGAAAATCGTCCAGATCTATTAGTTCCATAAAGCAAAGGAAAAAAAGACAGAATCCACTGATCACCTCACAAAAGAAATCCCAAAAAGAAAGGTCCTAGAAATGTCATAGCCAAAATTTAGAGCCTCTGAATCAAAGAAAAAAAAAAAGACTGCAATCGGCAGTCTGGACTATACATATAAACCTGACAGCTTCTATCATAAACAAGATGTGTTGGAACATAGTATTCCAAATGGGAAAAAAGACAGACTTACTATCAGGAATAACTTATTTTGCAAAACTGAGTATAATCCTACAGGGGAAAAGATGGATTTTTAATAGAATAGAGGATTTTCAAGTATTTCTGATTAGAAGTCCAAACTGAGAAAATAACAAATACCTAACTGTTAAGAGGGTCTTATTTAATTAGAATTCCTACTTCTTTGATATTACTAAAAGTCAGTTTCCCAAAATGAGTTAGTATTCAACATAATCTATCAGGGAAATAATAGAAATACTTACATGGGCTTCTTAGAGTTTCACTTTAAGTATTATCAGAAATTACATGAAATTAGAGTAACAATTCAAAGTGAAGACCCAAGAGAAATTTAGAAAGGGAAATTTAAGCAACTAGCATCATGATGAGGGGTTAACATTCTACTAAGAGGGAAGAAAAAGTTTCGTTTTAGAACCTTACTGTCTTCAAAAGCTATTGATGGTGTTAATAAGAAAAAAGGAAGGTAAAAAGAGAAATATACTAGTACAGAAGGGAGGAAGAACCAGGGAGAACAGGGCTGTTATTTTACATAATGGGTGAGAGAAGAGTATCAAACATGGGTAGATGGGAATCATGAACCTCACTTATATGAACTAGATGAATACTCATACAACTTTTACAAATGAAAGTTTGGTGTAAAAATTAAAGCCAAAAACTGCACTAAGACTTCTGGGACAAGCTATACATCAAACAGCGAAACAATCACAGGGAGAGGAAGGTTAAGAGAGAGATACTGAGGAGGAAATGGTCTCAATACAAACTCCCTGATCCTGAATGGAGTATCAAGAGGGACAAACATGTAAAGGGTATTCATCAATTGGGGAATGGCTGAAAAAATGTTAATATATGAATGTAATGGAATATGACACAATTTGAGAGAATCCTGTGAAGTATAAATTGATGCAGAATGAAGTGAGCAGAACCAAGAGAAACAAAATACTTTGAAACACTCAGCTGTGATCAAAGAAATGACCAAGCACCTTGAGAGGTGCCTTTACCTATGATGAAGTTTACCTCCTCACAAAGAAGAGACAGACTCAAAGTTTGGAAGGCAATGTACATTGTTGGACATGGATTATTGGATAGATGTTTTGCTTGATGACTTGGTTGGTAGAAGAGGTTTTTTTCCCTTCGTTTCTAATTTGGCATTGGGGATTTTGAGGGAAGAGAGGAGTACTGAAAGTAATGCAAAAAAAAAAGAATAGAAAAAAGGAGCTACTGAGTCATTTCTTGCCCTTTTTTTTTTTGGTGAGGCAACTGGGGTTAAATGACTTGCCCAGGGTCACACAACTAGTAAGTGTCAATTGTCTGAGGTCTGATTTGAACTAGATCCTTGAACCATTTCTTAAATGTGCACAGAACACAAAGGAAGTTCAGAAGAAGCAAAACAAGGGCAGTTTTGAAAATAACAAGTTGGGTTTATTACACACATGTAAAAAAAAAGCAGGACATATGGAAATTTGTGGTTTCATATGCAGTCCTTTTTTTTGTACTTTGTGTAAAGAAATGCTTTTTGTGTTTTGAGTTCAGAATAAAAATTTCTTTAAAAAGATCAGTAATTCAGACTACACGACCTCTAGGATATTCTTTCAGCTCTATGATTCTATGTCTAATTTAATCTTTTGTAAATACAAATTAAAAAAAAAATTCCCCTCAAAATAAACTTTCAAAAAAAGGCCACTCCTTCAAATATGAAGTTTCATGTGTCACTTTTATGTCCCACAAGCTCCATATTTTTTTGATGGAGAACTTTCTTTTTGCATTCATAAAACTAAACATTTAAAATGTTTTAGTTATGGAAATTTTGTTCATATGCATATTAAAAATGAAATAAATTATAAAAAGAAACAAAGGCTTGAACCCAGCAAACTGTCAAATTCAATAAAAGATGGAAATAGTCATTGTTACAGGGAATGTAGAAAGACAGACCTATTAATAGATTGTTGGCATACCTATAATTATGCTAAAATAGAAATTAAAATGCTCAAATCCTTTGAGCTAAAGATACCACTGCTAGGTATATAACCTCAAGGAGAAGATAGAAAAGTCTCATACTTATCAAAATAATTAGAGTAGCACTTTTAGTAGTAGCAAATAACTGGAAATGTCTATGAATTGGGGAATAGCTCATCAAACTGTAGTATGTGAATGTAATGAGGTCTTAATGTACTGTAGAGAATACGAATAGAGATAAACGTGAGAAAACTTAACTACATGCTGTGTAATTATAACTATCAAGGTTGGCAACTTCTCTCCTTTGCAGAAGTAGGACAATAGGTGTGGAACACATTGCAAATGATGTTAGATTTAACTGATGTGCTGATTAGTTTTGCTGAACTTCTTACTACTCTTCCTTCCCCATCTCTTTCTTTTTTGGGTTATAAGTAGCAGCTCTCTGGGTTGGGAAGGGGAGAAAGGTTATATTTGAAAATGATGACATAAAAGCAAAAGATAAAAATTATATATGTATATAAATATAAATAAAATTATTATAAAATAATTAGTCTATGAAATTGGGGTTGCAGGGAGGGACACATAACCAAATACTTAACTGTTAAAAGGATCTTATTTAAGTAGAATTCCTACTTCGATATTACTAAAAGTCAATTTCCCAAAATGAGTTAGTATTTAACATAATCTATCAGGGAAATAATATAAACACTTATATGAGCTTCTTAGTTTCACTTCATGTATTATTAGAAATTACTTCTTGTATTTTGTCCTAACTAGGGTTTTAAGTGTAATAAAAAAAAATTTAGTTTTTTAATGTTCACTAGAACTAGTGCCTTCCTTATAATGTGGATACAAACCATTTGACTTTATATTATGAAAAGTTCAAGTTTTGAATACAACTCGAGACAATTTTACAATTAATAACTGAGTTGGCAAAAATTAGTAAACAGTTAACTTACACTCTCTAGACCTTTAACTTACAAAATGCAGAGTTCTGATCTATAAGTAGATAACTTCTAAAGATTCTCATTCTAAATTTATGATGCTAACACTGACTTCTGAGTCATGGAAGCTTTAATTTTAATGAGTAATGTTCCAAATCCAAAAGCTTCTTTCCCGAAGAGACTACTGTGCATTATAGTTCTTTTGAGTTTTTCCAAAGGGTAAAACGGCTCCAAGTAATCGCCAAATTCTGTTTAAAGTTAAAAAAGTAGTTTGAATAGAACACCTCCTCCCTGGTAGAACAGAATTTCAGAAAACACGTTAATAGTCAAAATTATTCCTCGTTAAACACAAAATTGAAATGTATTTTTGGCTCAAAGAAACAAGAAATAAGATTTGACCAAAATATGTTGCTACATTCCATCTGAGAGGTAATGTGGTATAGGAGACAGCTGGTCTAAAAACCAGGAAGGCCTGGGTTCAATTTCTGTTTTTGATTCTAGGCAAATCACTTAAAGTCTCAGGTTTCTAGGAAGCTAAGGCCTGGTGCCAATTTGTGTTGATAAAGAGAGTTTCCTCAGGGGACAGTTCACAAGTGCCTAGCCTACATTCTATCTGTAAAAGCAAGAAGTAGGAAAAGATGTAACTAGGCCAGCACTTGTTTTGGGGAAATGATGTCCATATAAAGAAATCAGTTTTCTTTAACAGGTAGCCCTTTCCTTCAATTCATGATAGAGGTATGCTCTGGATTGTCAACATATTCATGATATTTAACTGAATTTTGGCACTTATGACAAACTCTAAAATAAACCTAGCATTAGGTTACAAAGATATTTTTGATCTTGGTCCTCTTGTATTAAGTCTTACATATGTCTACAGAACAGAGAGCCCCATTTCAAATGGTTTGAGATTAGGTCCAATGGATTGGGCAACTCAATTGTTCAGATCACAGTTAAGGAAAAAGAAAACCCAATGTTTAACACTGCCATCTCAGAGAAAAAGTCAAGAAAAGTTACCTCTATAATGAGCAAAGCTTTATCTTTATTTGTTAAGAATTATTTGAAAATCTACTTAAGATGAAATAACTTCCCAGGTTCATGAGAACAGGCTTGTTCTTTTATTATATTATGATCATGTTAAAAACTGACAGCAATAGGCAAAGAGATGGAATCAAGAATTCTTTTTCTAAAATACCACATAAAGATTGTTAAGGCTGCTTAAAAGAAACTGCTATTGTTTAGTTCTGAATGCTTTTACCATCAATTAAAAAATTTACCTCTCCATTTTTCTTAGAGACTTAATAAGAAGTACTAGTTTTAAACTGGGAAGTTAGACAAGTTAACTTGCAGTTAAAGGCAATGGCAGGTTTTATTTACAAGACAATAAAATAAAGGATGAATCAGAGATTCTCTGAACAGAGTATAACTTGCATGTAGATTTAATGTGGGGCAGCTAGGTGGTGGAGAGAACACAGGGCCTGAAGTCAGGAAGATATATCTTCCTGAGCTCAAATCTGGTCTCAAGACACTTCCTAGTTGTGTGACCCTGGGCAAGTCACTAACCTTTTTGCCTCAGTTTCCTCATCTGAAAAATGAGCTGGAGAAGGAAATGGCAAACCACTCCAGTATCTGCCAAGAAAACCTCAAATGGGGTCACAAAGAATCAGACATTATTAAAACACCTGAACAACAATAATCAGATTTAATATAGTCAGGTATTGGATTGATGCACTTTTAAATGGGCATAAAATATATCTGACAACAGAAATGAGCAGGAATATTGTACAGAAATGAACCTTACCTGTCTTCACAATTCACACATATATCTATGAAATATTAAACAATAATAAAATTGAAAAGATGGGGAAATTTAAATCGACAGTTTCAAAACCTAATTCTATTAAAAAATTCCCCCCCTTCCTCTTACTGAGCAAAAAAGCTCAAGGTTAAAAGCCACAGCATAGTGATTCTTATTCCTTGTTTTACACTCTGATTTTTTAAAATACACTCACATCATTTAAGATAATTCAAGTATGGGGAACTTATTTTCTTAAAATTATACCTGAAAGAAAGTCTTCTAAAACCCAAAATATTCATCTATATATCTCTGTATCTCTTTAGTATACTTCCTTGAGAGATCTTTAGTTTGTATGTCTCACACACACACACACACACACACACACACACACACACACACACACACTCACTCACGCTCTCTCTCATCTCATCACAAATGCCAGTGGGTTCCTCTAAACGATCTACAAATGAACAATGTCCATTTGCATTGTCATACTGCCCTCCTATACTCGTAGTACTATACCAGTAAAATAAAATTTTACTGTTCTGCAAATTCTGTTGCATAAACAGCTTCAGATATAAAAGATTTAAATATCTTCCTTTTCAATTCAGTTGGGATGTTCTAAGTTAAAAGGCACCAAAACAAATTGAAATAGTCATTGGTCAGGGTTCAAATACCTTCACCCTCTTGAAAAAAATTTAATCAATTTAACTTACTCAACCTCCTCCTTTATAGCAAATCAATTTCTGGGTCCAGCAATGTATTTACAGGTTCACAGGTTACAGGTTCAGTGGTAACAAGTACATATAAATACTGAAGACCACAATATAACATCACTACAAAATGATGCAAATCAAAAGAAAAATGTATTTTTGGAAACATACTTATGTCATACAATTCATTTATTGAATATTCTCTATCTTCATCATCCAATATCCAAATCTACTTTCTTCACCTTATCTACAAGAAATCTGAATTATGCATGTAAATACTGTAAAAGAAGGCATAGTATAAATGAAATGTGGAAATCACCAGGAGCTAATTTTACAAAGCTATAAAACTAGCTAATAAAAATTAATATTCTGTCCATTATCACTTCCTAATAGAGTAACTGTGCTTGAACAGTTAAGATTTGATATAGACATTTATCTCCAAAAGAGATGTTGCTACCATGCCCTTCTTTCTCCACCAGAGGAAAACGGCTATCTGTTAGCAGCCAGTCCTCTCTCTGCACGTCTCACTACCCAGCAACTGTAAATCCTCATCTTCCTATTCTCTAGTCTCAAACAGGACTTGAGAAAAAGTTGGTACTCTTCAGAAAAAAAGGCTGAGAAGCTCTACTATATACCTTATGTATCTTTAAAAAAATGCTATATACATTAATGAGTAGATATTCAAAGTTCAAATTATCGAAAGCCTGAAACATCCACGTTATTAGATCTCCGTATAGTTTCAATATGAAGTTTTTCCAAAAACAAAAAATTACACCCCCCCACCTCCTCTATTTCCTAAGGACAGTGAATTGAAGGGGTGAAGTTAATAATATACTTTTAATTAGATGCTTTATCAAATTCTCATAATTACTGCATACACTACTATTAACTTATTTAATTGTAAACCCCAAAGTGAATCAGATCACAAATTCAGAAAAGGTGAACATAATTGAGATGGCTCAGGCAATAATTTGCTCTTCTACAGGTTTCTATTTCAAAGATTTAGGAAATGATATTAACTTCCTACCATAAATACTGCTGTTGAGGGGATAGAATCGATTTTGCAAAATTCATTTAAACATGATCATTCAGTGGTTTCTTCATTCTCACAGTTTAGTTAAAAACTATCCAATTCCTTTAAAATACCACTTTCCCTGTGAAATAATGACTATCCACAACAAAATATTTTAAAGCACGGTATCAAACTGTGTAGAACTTACCAAATGCATTAAAAACATATTCCTGCCACTTAAAATATTTAAGGACTGCAAATATGAAGTTAATTTTTAAAAACGGAATATATTCTAAAATATATGTGACATTTGAGATAAAGTAAAAGTCTGTTGTGCAATAAGAAACGTTTTGCAGCAATTAAAATGAATTAAAAGAATCAGTTCTCTGGTAGTTCAAGAAGTTAGTCTTTTCTCTACAGTCTCCTGATAAGCAATAAATCTTCTCAAGTTCATTTTCACATTGTCGAGAACACAGAGTTGATCTGTACTACATTTTCCTCTTCCTTCTTTTCGAAGCTATAATTGGGGAAAAAAAGAGGAAGATTTGTTATAAGTGACAATCATTTAACTAAGAAAAATATGACTACTATAAACATAGTGGAGAAATCTTTGACATGACAGCTACTAGACTATGGGTATCTCCAGTTTCCTCCTCTAAATATGACAGTACAGTTGAGGCATTTAAAGCTCAAAAGTAGTACCTTCAAAATTACACTTGCAAAGTCAGTGGTGCATTAGCAGTGAAACAGACTGTTACATAGCATAAACAGCTTCATAACCATGAGAAACAGAGCATCATGGACATCTGGCTAATACCATTGCCAGTATTCAATTTCAGTGTTTAACCTCAAGCATATTCTAACCTCTAGAGAGTTCTTTGTTAGAAAGCAGTGTATTTCGTTTAATGCAATTTGGGGCTAAAACATTTAATGAAGAATGTTTAATGCAACTGTGGTTTCATTTTACACAGTGCCATTTCACAGAAACATGAGCTTGAACTTAGAGTGGTTAATAAAATACTCCAGAAACAAAATTGTTTGCCTTTTTTTTTTTTTAAGAAGGATTAAGTTGGCCACTACTATTCAATAAACTGTTTAGTGATTTGAAAATGCAGTGTAGATAACGGTTTAAAATTAAGATTAGTAATATGTTCCCAAAACAGTTTACTTTTGTTGTATATGTAAAGCCTTAAATTTTTTTCTCTTAAAACTGAAAATGTTTCGTGTTAGGAAAATTTAGAATACTGAAAAAAAAAATAAAATCGCCAACCTACATAGCCTCAATATGATTAATGGAGAGATTTTAATGTTAAATTACAAGCACTAGATCTTTATAACTCCTGTTACCCTGCGGACAAGCAAGAGATACTAGATCTCGAATGCAAGAGGAAGATGTATTTCCACCCCAAGAAGACAAAATATATGCAAATTTCTAGAACTGGTAGGATCAAAACTGGTTTCTTGTAGGAGTAGGCACAAGTTTGAAAGCTAGGGATTCTATGAACCAGAAGACAGCATCATTACAAAAATCCAGGGAAGAGAAAGTAGCCAACAGTGCTAAATGCTGCCAAGAAGTCAAGAAGTAGGATTGGGTGTCCAGCTCAACCTATAAGCTTACATGTTTTATGGTTTAAAAAAAAAAATCATCTGACCAATCTTCGCCTTGTGGTGTTGAAAAATTATTTATAGTTAGTACAAGGTATGTATGTGTGTTCAGGGAATCCCATTCTTAAATGTGTATGTGCTACTGGTCAGTATTTGTCAGTTAACCTTTTCTTCAAGTTAGGGTTAGATTAGGCACTAAGCTATCTGAGTTCTAATCTAAGCTCTGCTACTAATGAGCTATGTGTTCTTAAGCATGTCAATGAATTTTCCTAAGCTTCAACTTCCATATCTGTAAAAGAAATGTGGAGATTTAACTAACTGCCCTTTCGTGACTTAAATTTTATGTTTCTGAATGCCTTGTACTCCAACCAAAATATCAACACAAGGAAGCTATCTATGCTATTGTTCTGGGAAAAATAAAAAAAAATTTGTACATAATCTTGAATTTAAAATTACAATTCCATGAGGCTTATTATATATAAAGTTTCATTTAGCAAAAGTGATTCTTAGAGTTATATTTTTTTTCCCTATCAATTCCTTTTCTGAAAGTGAGTTCTTGATACTCTGAAGGAAACAACATACAGCAAACATAATTTTGTTTTACTAAAAAATTAAACTCTGTTTGAAAAAGTTTTTGTTTCTATTTTATAAACTGGAAAAAATAGATGCTAAAGTACTTAAAAGTTCAGTGGCTTATATACCTATTAGTAACTGAAAATGAAAACATTTAAAATAAATTTCACTAGTACTGAATCTAGTTTAATACTAGATAGTTTGGGTACAACATCTTAAAATAGTTCTCAATGAATCTATATACTGAAAAATTATGGTTAAAATCCAAGTTACATTAAAATAAACTTACTTATTTTAGTGAATTCTAAAGAACAGGTGCTTCTCACAATATTAAGAAGAACACTTGTAGGAAACAGAAATAAGTTAACCTTATAGAATCCTCATTTCCCCTCCTGTTTTCACCAAGGGTTTAAAAGAAATAAAACTCAAAACAAAACAAACAAAAAAAAGGAACAAAACTGTTCCACATGTAAGAGTTCTTTACATTCTAAATTACAACTTATTGTAACTTCATAAAGATTTTATGCAAGAGAAAGAAATAATCTTTAATATTAGGAATACTCAAAGGAAAAAGGGATTTAGTGTTTGTCTGGGTGATTCTCACTAAACAAATATGCAAAAGACAGAGTTAAGTAGCTTCAGATTACTTACCCTTTTCTTTAAATGCAAAATAGAAGACAAAATTAAATTACTAATTATGATGAACTTAGTCTACACCATAACATTGTTAAACTGTTAAACCCTAAGCCACTTTTCCATGATGTCAAACAAATAATGAATTAGAGTACAAACATGACTTAAGTCTGAGTCATTTTACCACAATGTTAGAAATGGCAAGAAAATAACCTTCCCAACCATAATCTTCCCCTGCTTTTGGCAAGAAAGATCTAATAAGTACTCCATGGAATATCTACTAGTTGGCTGGTCAACAGAAATGTATTAATAAACACATGTGTGATCAGCTGAGAATTAATCAATCCAATATAAGGATCCTATGCTCTAATTTGTCATATACATGCCTACTAAAATACATGATTATGGCTGTTAAGCCATATGCCCATAGCATGTTGAAACTCAAGGGATTCTAAGAACAGGGTTATTACATACCTTCATTTTGAAAACTGGCTGGAATTCTTTTAGGGCAGACAATAATTTGATCTCAACTGCTGCCTTTTCAGCCTCTTTACCATCTGCAAAAACATCAAAGATGGCATCTAGAGTTTCTCCAGCTACTACAAGAGAAGAATCTTTGGTGGCCACTTCAAGAAGAAATTTTCCAATAGTCTGAAACAAAACAGAATTATTCAACATCCAAGGGTTACACTCCTAAAACGATTTGAAACTATTTTAAAAGTACATATAATAAGAATAATACTGCATATAAAATTGTTTGAAAAATATTTAATACTCTTAAAAGAACTAGAGATGTAAAAGTCTAAGAGCTGTGGGTATATAAGGAAGAATATTGGACTTATAATCAGATGATGTGGTTCTGAGTTGTGGTTCTTATTATCTTATTGTCCAAATCACCTCTCAAGCAAGTTACTTTCCCCTCTCTGGATTTAGGACTTATCATCTGGTAAACTAGATAAGGCCCCTTCCAACTCCAACAATCTTTGAACCCTCCCCAGAGAGAAAAACAAGGACCACAAACATTTTTCACTAAAGCTTTATTTTCACATACCTTTGCCCCTCCTCATTTTAAAAGTTACAAAATTAAAATCATTTCCCCATCGGCTTTCATATCTCTAAGCCAAGGATGATAGTTTTGGGAATAAACAAAGTTACACATAATATACTTTTATCTTTCTAAACTATGATTATAGACCTTTAACAGGTGCTTAAAAAATGTCAACCTTTCCCACAACTATGCCAAATTGTTCTACTGCTTGAAATAAAAAAAAACCTATAGAAAACACTAAAGGATTATCAAAAACCAAAATTTTCTTCTTAAACTTCAAATGAAAGAAATACAGCCTTTTACGATTTCTACACCTTCATTCAGAGAAGCAGCAGAATGAATTGTGAAGATATATTTAAAAGCTGCAGCAATGGTACAATGGATAAGCTGTCCTTGGAGTTAAGAATGCCAGAGTTGAAGTCCCACCACCAACCTACACCCCAGTTGTGTGGGCCATGTCATACCTTCTCAGTGCTTTAGGTAACTAATACTATGAATTTCAAAACTAGCATCTTAGTCTAGAAATATATTTTACCTTCAGTGTTTCAAGTGTACCATCTTCTTTGGCTAGGACACAGCCCGTGATTCCTAAAATACTAACAACATTTACTCTAACACCAACATTACTGCTATGAATCCCAGCTTCACATAATGACATCAGCTGCTCAGGAGTCATGCACTGTTGAGATATAGTAGGGAAGATACAATTTTATGTTAAGTTCAGTCAACTTCAACAGTTTAGGGCAAGGCAGACTTGACATTAGATTTCATAAACACACTTTTACAAGACAGACAGGAACCACTTGCTGTGAAGCTACTGTATACTAATTAAGAATCCAGGGAATCAAAAAAGCAGATTCCTCATTAAGCAATTTATTTGACTATCTAGAACTTTGCAGGTATTGCCAATACCAATACTAACATATTCATAAACTTACACAAGGTTTTATCCCATATTATTATTTTTTGTTGTTGTTGTTGTTTTTTTGGCAACTGGGGTTAAGTGACTTGCCCAAGGTCACACAGCTAGTAAGTGTCAAGTGTTCGGTCTCAGGCCAGATTTGAACTCAGGTCCTCCTGACTCTAGGGCCGGTGCTCTATCCACTGTGCCACCTAGCTGCCCCCTCCCCATATTATTTTTCATAAGCCCTTCTTTTCTGCTGATTCTCAAATTATGCCTTAGGTATATTAGAAATATTTTAAACAGCACAGTAGAGAAACTGCTGTGTTGGATTTGAAGATGTGGCTTTGTATCTTGCCTCTAGTATATCTAAATTATCTAACTATGAACAAGTCACCTGACCTTTCAATAAAAAAAAAATTTTGGGGGGGAGCTAGGCAATGGGGTTAAGTGACTTGCCCTGGGTCACACAGCTAGTGCTTGTTATGTTTCTGAGACCACATTTGAACTCAAGTCTTCCTGACTCCAGGGCTGGTGCACTATCCACTGCGTCACCTAGCTGCCCCTCTCAATAAAATATTTTTTAAAAGATAAAGTGAAGTACCAAATAAGAAGCACCCAATCAAATCAAATTCATTTCCAAGTCATTTGGATTCATTTTCCTCAATTTAGACTTAAAGTATAGATTCTGAGAAAAGACCCTAACCACTGAAATCTGAGCATTTCAGTACCAAATTCTTGGATAAGGCAAAGTGAAGGACAAAAAAGTATTCTCTACTATCATCAGAGGATCAAAATCTAAAGGGAGATTCTTAATCTGGAGTCCATGAATTTCAGTGTTTTTAAAAAAAATATTTTAATAACTATATTAATACACTTGATTTTCTTTGTAATCCTATGTATTTTATGTATTTAAAAACATTATACTAAGAAGTGGTTCACAGATTTCACGATACTGCCAAAGGGATCTATGATTAAAAAAAAAAGTTAAGAATTTAACTGTTTTAACATATGGTCAGTGTCATAGCAACAGCAGAGTACCTAGTACCTTCAACATATGAGGTGCTGAAGATGATGGGTTTACCAAACAGTTCCAGCTGCCTGGGAGTTTAAAATCTTTACATATAAAGAGGAAACTTGTTAAATGAAATCATCACTACTAGCTGAATGTCAGCTTTGAATTATTTTTCCAGTTGTAATGGATTTGGGCTAAGATATCTATACCAACTGACCAAATGCTTACAACTGCAAAAGGGTTGGTCAGGTTTTTGAAGTGCAGTCCACTATGTTTGTATAATACTATACAGGATTTTTTTCAAAGCACTTTCACAGGCAATCTTATGAAAATGACAGATTATTTTCCTCAATTTACTGAAACCCAGACTTTCCACATGACTTGGCTTCCAGAATGACTTGTCTAAGTTTACATGGTTAATATCAGTCCCAACAATAAAACCAATATCTACAAAACCAATATCTGAGTGTTAACAATTTCAACAGAAATCGGAGGCTCTGAGTTCCACATATTACTATTAGCTAGGCATTTCCAAACACTTGGGTGTCATATACACACTTCAAACTTGGCATGTCCAAAATGAAAATTGTTCTGTTTTCCAAAAAATGAATCTCTGCTCCAAGGTTCCTCATTCTGGTTGATGTTTGTCATTTCAGAGATAACCTTTGATTTTTCATCACACTCACTTTCAATCATGTGTCATCACCTCATCTCAATTCCCTTTCCCTAATTCAGGTCCTTGTCAACTTGTGCTGGGACTACTGTCACCAACAAAATCCAGTAGGAAGCGCTGAGAAATTCTATTCAAAATAACTACAGAAGCTATAAAGCATAGAGGAATGTATCTACTAGGATATACCTAAGAACCATATTAAACCAACTATAAAATACTCTTTGCAGAAATAAAGATAGAATGCAATGACTAACTTTGATAGACTTATCTCTTCTTAGCAATGCAAGAATCTAAGACAACTCCAAGACTCATGATGGAAAATGCTATCCACATCCAGAAAAAGAACTATGGAGTCTGAATGCAGATTTAAGCATATTATTTGTTCTCTCTCTCTTTTTTTGTTTCTTTTTTCTCATAGTTTCTTCCATTGGTTCTAATTCTTCTTTACAACATGACTAATGTGAAAATAGGTTTAACATGAATGTATATGTAGAGCCTATATCAAATTGCATGCTGTCTTTGGAAGGGGAAGGATGGGGAGAAAATTTGGAACTCAAAATCTTATAGAAGTGAATGTTGAAAACTAGAAAGAAATTAATTAAAATTAAAAAGAAATAAAGAATTAAATAATTAGGGAAACATTATTCACATGTCAAGCCAATATAAAAAAATCCAATAATATGACCTAAATTAACTTATTCAGTGTTGTGTCAATCAAACTGCCAAAGGAATATTTCATAGAGCTAGAAAAAATACCAAAATTCACATGGAAGAACAAAAAGGTCAAGAATCTTAAAAGTTCACAATGAAAATTAACGGGAAGATCTCAAACTATACTCAAAGCATTAATCATTAAAATTATTTGGCACTGATTTAAAAACTAAGAGCTTGATCAGTTAAACAGATTAAGTAGCTATCATACAGAAGCAAACAAACAGTAGTAGTATAATATTTGATAAATCCAAAGAGCCCATCTACTGGGGGAAAGAATCACTACCCGACAAAAACTTTGAGGGAAACTGAAGAGCAGTCTGGCAAAAATTAGGTTCAGGCCAATAAACTCACATATATTTTTAAAAGATCCAAATGGATACATGACCTCCATATATAAGAGCACATCATAAATAAATACGAAGAGAAAAGAAGAAATTATCTTTCAAATCTATAGAGAGGAAGTGTTCATAGACTAGCAATAGAGAGGACCACAGGATAAAATGGACAATTTTGATAATATCAAATTTAAAAGTATCTGCACAAATTATATGTTAAAATTATAAGGAAAATAGGTATAGCAAATTTCTCTAATAAGGTCTTACATGCAAGATATATAAAGAACTAATTCAAATTTATTAGACTAAGAGCCACTTCCAAACAGATTAAATGGTCAAAGGATATATGAACAGTATCCTGAAAACAGGCTATTTTCAAAGAAATCCAAGTTACCAACAACTATATGAAAAAACTGTTTTAAATCACTAATAATTTAAGAAATTTTAAGGTCCCACCCATCAGATTGGCAAAGATAACAAAAAAGGAAAAGGCCAAATACTGGAAAGACTATGGGAAAACTGGCACATTAGTGCACTGGAAGAACTGTGAACTGGTCCAGCCATTCTGGAAAGCAATTTGGAACTGTGCCCTAAAAGTTTCTAAAACCATGCATAGTCTTTGACCCAGCTATACCATTACTAGGTCTGAACCCCAAAGAAATCAAAGAAAGAAGAAAAGGACATAAATGTACAAAATAATTTATAGCAACTCTTTTCATAGCAACCCCAAAAACCGGAAACTAAGAGAGTGTCCTATTGGGAAATGGTTAAACAAATCGTGGTTTATAAATGGAATGGAATATTACTGTGCCATAAGAAATGATCAAATGGATAATTTCTGAGGAAAGCAGGAAAACTTTTATGAAGTGATTCAGGGCAAAGTGAGCAGCACTAGGAAAAAATTTTATGTGACAACCATATTATAGAGAAAAAAACTCTTGAAAGGCTTTGGAATTCTGATTGGTATAATGACAAATCAAAAGACTTGATGAAGATGAAACAAACCACTCACCTCCTGTCAGAGAGGTAAACTTAAGATGTAGAGAGAGATATACATTTTCAGGTATGGCAATTGTGGGAATTTGTTTTCCTTGACCATGTATGTTCATGATGGGAATTTTTTTCTTTTTTTTGTTCAATCAGGGGAAGGGGAGAGGAAAGTAGGGACAGATTATAAATGCATATTAAAAAATCAATTTATTTTAAATAAGAAGAACCTCAAACAACAAATATTGGACTAACAAATTCAGAAGTCTTGCTCTCACAAACTGATGTAGTATTTTCTTTAAAAGTTAGCACAGTCAGTTACCAAAGTAATATTCAATTAGTCTTCAGGTACTCTACAGTTACTCTGTCAATTGCGTTTATAAACCTTCCACCTGTTTTTTTCTTTAATAGAAGTAAAAAGAAGAAAAACAAACTAGTATCAGCTAATATAATTATTTATAATTCCAGAGAAGATTTTAAAAAATGGTTAATTTAAAAAATAGTTATCATTTGTGATCCTCTCTAACTTAAAGTCTGATTAAAACCCCAGGCTAGTGATGTTTTAGAATTTTTAAAATTCCATTCTCTACAATATGTAACAAAAAATGACACACATTAAATATTTCATCCTGATTAATTTTTTTCCATTTCTTCATTTCAATAGCAAAATCACATTCCATTATAAAAAAACAAATCAACAGAAAAATTTACCAAACTTAACTATTACAACACAACTTCCACATAATAAATTATTAAATTGGTCATAGATGCCTTTAAAAGGCAAGTAGTTTGGCCATTCAATACTCGAAATATAATTTCTCCTTGCCTACCCTCTTCCAGGAATAACAAGGGATTAGGATAAGGAGAAGGGCAAAATCATGATTTTTTTTTTTTATTACCAACCACCATTTATCACCACCAAGCACAAAGCATTACTGGGCTAATGATCCCATGATCCCAATGACTATTTGTAAAGCCAGAAGCTAGGTGACACAGTGAACAGATAACTGGAATAAAAGTCAAGACCACTTGCATCTTGCCTCAAACTCTTACAAGTTGTGTGATCTCAGGCTTTGCAAACCTCAACATGTTATATAAATGCTAGATTTATTTTTTCTAACAGTTCTCTGCTTCCAAGAATTTGCTAGTAAGATCATTAAAACTACAGAAATAAAGCATTAAACTTTGCTTGTATATGTAACAAATACCTTCCAGATCACCCCAAATTTTAAACAAAAAGAAAAAAATCTCACCTGAGAAATGTTCTTGGATGCCATTATCTGCAACAGAGTCCTTAAAGCGGTACTTATGGCTTCTAGAAATTCAGTGTGTTTGACAAAATCTAAATACAAAACACAAAAATAAAACCCAAATATTCACCTTACAAATGTTTTAGTTAAATGTTTTCACAAGAAATAGTGGCATAATAAGGTAGCACCATTATACCAAAACACAACTAGTATAGTCAGAATATATTTGATGTCTGAGTTGTCCTATAATCCATATGAGCCAAATATTTTGAGATGCCTTTCTTCGCATGTACACTGATTATTTGTGGTAATAAATAATAGAAATGAAAAATACAAAAAGGAACGCACTTTGGTACTTACATTCAAATAGAACTATAATTTGATATTCTGGAATTTGCAATCACACTACACTAAGTATAAAGTCATTAAAATTTGGAAGATTTCTTTGGTTTCCCAATCTGCCCCAGGATCAGTTCCACTCTGTTCTCCATTCCTTGCTGGGGATGAACAGCAGCCCCTTTGATTCAAAGTACTAGCTGAAACCCAACTGCCTTTTGAGTTTTCTCGCTGTGTTGACTCACACTATACTTCTTATTAGAGAAGAAATTTCAAAAATCTTTTTTGTAAAGCTGTCCCTAGTTTGAACACAGACTATTTCAAACATCCTTCCCATTTTGAGGAATTATTCATAAAGGTCAACAAATGGAATGATGTCAAAAGAAGGAGTTAAAGAAGAGAAGTGACAAAAAAGCAGTGTCTTCCTTCCATACTCCTTTATAAAGTAGGGATTTGCTGCAAACAAAGTAGATAATCTACCCAATAAGAATCATCAGCAATAGTATAAGTGAATTTGACTTGATTTTATAGTTGAATTTAGCCTTTAACATTCAGATTAATAAGGGTGGCACTGTCATTACAAAGATGGACAATATAGAACTGGCTTTCCCCTCCAAACTTCTAAAGTTTAATCTGCATAATTAACATTTTCTTAAGTCTAGATAATTAAGAAAGCAAATTTAAATCAAGCCTTAATTTGTAGCATTTGATGATTTTCTTTCTTTTTTTTTTTTTTTTTTTTGATGATTTTCAAGGTGTAAATGCTCACACTGAAAATCTAGCAATTTGCTCTTGAGAGCCCTAGGAAGTTGGCTCTAGCACACCCCTGCTTCTACTTCTCAATTCTTTTCCAGGCTATTACGCCTACACTTTTTCCCTTCCTCATCTATTTCCCCTGGTGAATACATTCAACTTTCCCCTTCTCAAGTCTCTGCTCTATCTTCCTATCAAAAATCTTACATCAAGGTTTACTTCAGCTTTGGATTACTCCCACCATCTGCTCTCTTGGCCCCTACTCACATGCTACTGAATGAAGCTGAAGGAAAAAAACAAAACAAAACAAAACTATGTTGCTGAGGTCCATTACCAATTGTGTTACATAATCTCATCACTAGGTCCTCACTGTGGTAAGGCAATCCTTTTATAACTCCCTCCTTGATTCACTATCTCACTCACCATAGCAGCTTTTCTAAAGAAAACCTTTTCAACCCTCCTAAAACCTCACATAGCTTTGAGAATCCTCTATATTTCACTTTGAAAAACTGAGACTATTCACCAAATCTTCCTTTTAATCCCTCTTCATCCCATATAACTAACATACCTTCTACTATCTTTACCTCTGTCTCACATGAAGTAGACCGTCTCCTTGCCAAGTCAAACCCAAGTGATCTCATTCCATCCTATATTTTCCAGTAGACTGACCCCTCTATCACTGCTTTTTTGTTGTTCAGTCATTTTTTTAGTCATGGCTGATTCTTCATAACCCTATTTGGAATTTTCTTGGCAGAGATACTGGAGTAGTTTGCCATTTCCTTCCAGCTCATTTTACAGATGAGGAAACTGAGGCAAACAGGGTTAAGTGACTTGCCCCTGGTTACACAGCTAGTAAGTGTCCGAGGCTGGATCTGAACCCAGGTCAGTCTTCCTGACTATAGGCTTGGCACTCCATCCACTGCACCACCTAGCTGCCCTTTATCATTGCTATTCTCTCACTTATCTTCATTCTCTGGCTTAGTATAATAGGCTTTCTTAATCATTCTGAGGAACTATGATTATATAGACACATGTATTTACCATCCCTTAAATTTATGGGAAAGATCTCTGGAGAAAGAATTGGTGGAGCCTGAATTCAGATTGAAGAAGATACTTTTTCTTTATTTTCTTGTTTGCTTTTTTGTCTGTTTTCTTTCACAGCATGACTTACATGGAAATGTGTTTTGCATGACTATGCATGCATAACCTTTGTCAAATTGCATGCCTTCTCAATGATGGGAGGGAGAGAATTTGGAATTCAAAATGTGAAAAAAAAGAACGTTAAAATTGTTTTTACATATAATTAAGAAAAAAATAAAGTATTATTTTTTGTTTGTTTGTTTTTGGTGAGGCAGTTGGGGTTAAGTGACTTGCCCAGGGTCACACAGCCAGTGCCAAGTGTCTGGTCTGAGACTGAATTTGAACTCAAGTCCTCCTGACTCCAGGACCAGTACTCTATCCACTGTACCGCCTAGCTGCCCCGAAAATTTATCATTTTTGAAAAATCTGTAGAAAGCACATGGATTTTGTTATTTTCAACAAGTGGAAGTGGGAAATGAGTAAATGCCTTTAAGTTTTAAAATACATTTAATGTTTCTCCTAGAAATTAAATAGTTTTTAACACATGGATGAGGCAGCAATTTAGGATCACATTATATTGTAACTACTGAAAATTACTCCTTTCACTATCAAATGTATACTGAATACATTCAATGTTAATGGTCCTCACAAGTCTTATTGCTCAAACCAGAATTTTATTTGTGCAGTCAAGGGGTGGGAGGAGATAGACAAAAAAAGCACACCATCGTTACACTGTTACACAACACAAACAATACTTCTGACACACACAATGTGTGACTACTCTATCTGACCCATTCTAATTTCTATAGTTTATTCAAAGGATAAGATGAGAGCCTGGACAGCAAAAAGAAGTCAGCAAAGGTGAAGAGTAAAGGATATAAGGTGTCTTTAGTAGTAAAAATCTGAGCAACTTTTAAATGATGGCTAAAACAAGGAGAACAAAAAGAGGGAGGCAGGATGAATGGTATAGGATGCAGGGTTCAACTTTTTAACCAATGAATAACATTTAGAGAATCACAAGCAGTTTTTTTGAAGAGCAGACTATATCGTGTTATTACAGTCTATGTACAGATTATCGTTAAGTGGATCTACAATTTAAACAATTCTTAAATCATTTGGGTTTTTTCCTAAATAAAAATATTAAAGGATAATAAACAAATATTAAAGGATACTAAATTATACTAAGCATAGTATAATTGTAACACCCCTGATTAAGCTCTTTAGCCCACTATTACATGAAAGTTATATTCCATGAAGTAGTAACTTTACCTGTTTATAATGCCTACAGCTAGCATATAATATGTATTAATAAATCTTTGTTGAATTCAATCTGCATGGTTTTATGTTCTGTCAATATTGATTATGATTCACATCAAATTAGACTATAAAATAATATAGAATAAATTCTCAAAATGCCATTAGTGGGGGCTGGTTATAGCTACTAAAATGACAGTAAGGGATAATAACAGTTACATAGTGCTGTCAGTATAAGCCACACATGAATTCTAGGATACAAGTAGGATCATAGGATTTTTGAATTAGAAGGACCTTAGAGATCATCTAATCTAATCTAATCTAATCTAATCCCTTCATTTTAAAGGTGAGGTAACTGAAGATGAAATTTCACTGATTTTCCCAAGGTCATGGAGGTTCTAAGTGGCAGAGGAGGGATTCAAACCCAGGTACTCTAGTACTTGTTCTAAAGCACAAGTAAGAGAATTTTTCATTTATTTTACAGTCCATTGATTAATTTGCCCTTTCAAAAAATGATCCTTACCAAAGCCATTTTCCAATAGATAAGTGGCCTACAAATATTAACCATCAATTCTTAGAACTGCAAATTATTAGCCATATGAAAGAACTCTCAATCACTAAGAGAAGTACAAATCAAAACAACTCTGAGGTTTTACCTCACACCCTGCCAATTGGCAAAAATGACAAAAAATGAGAATTGTTATGTTGAAGGGTTGTGGGAAAATAGGCACATAAGTGTATTGTTGATGAAACTGTGAATCAGTACATCCATTTTGAAAAGCTGTTCGGAATCATGCAATTAAAGTGTCTAAAATGTTCATACCCTTTAATCTAGAGTCAAAGGCATACTATAAAGGCATTATTAGCCTTACACCCCTGAACTGAGCAAGGCCACCGAAAAAAAAAAGAAAGTCTTCATGTATCCCAAAATAGTTACAGCAGGGGCAGCTAGACGGCCTAGCCCTGGAGTCAGGAGGACCTGAGTTCAAATCTGGCCTCAGACACATAACACTCACTAGCTGTGTGACTTTGGGCAAGTCACTTATGTGACTTGTATTAAGAAAAAAATATATTTATAGCAGTACTTTTTGAGAAAGCAAAGAAGTGGAAACAAAGTACACGTTCATTGATTAGGGAATAGCTAAGCGAACTGTGGTCCATAAATATAATAGATTATTACAGCAATATAAAAAAAAAAACAAATGTTATGAATACACAGAAGCATGATCTACATGAGCCGAAGTACAGTGAAAGTTAACAGAGCTCAAAAAAGCCCCCAAAATAAACAGTAACAACGATGGAAACGGAAAAAACCACAAAACCCCCAAACTTTTCCCTTGAAAAGTTCCTACCAATAAAAGAGCCAAAAATTGGAATTTAATCCCCCTTTCCATTGAGATTAACAAAAAAAAGTTAACACCCCCACCCAACGCTGCTGAAATATACATATATTATGTCATAATTAAGTTTGCTTATATAAATTAGAAGAGAAAGGTTAGTACTATATAGGGAAAAAAGGCTAGAAATGGGGACAATGAAAGTGAAAATTAACAAAAATTTACTTTAAATGGTTGATTTTTTTTTAAATAAAAATGAAAAAATATAATTTATAGAACAGGTACTTTTCTCAGACTACTGATGCCAACAGCATTACATATGTGATGGCTGTTTGCTTACCACTTCCATTGTGCTCCTTGCAACTCCTGTTCCATTCTGAACATATCTTCTCCTCTTTTGTCCCAGACCTTTATCTATCACAATTCTCTCTACTAGCCCTCACTGTGAGGTAGCCTCTCACTGACAACTGCATCACTCCTTTTCCCCACTCATTTATCAATATCACCCAACAAACTGGTCTGAGAGGGAGAGTTGGAACACTTCATGCTCCCCACTGTCACTTTTAAATTCTCTTTTTACCACAGGGATTCGGAGCCTGGGATCCATGAACTTGTTTTTAAAAATATTTTGATAACTGTGTTTCAATATATTTGGTTTCCTTTGTAATCTTGTGTTTATTTTATGAATTTAAAAACACGTTCAGAAGGGGTGCATAGGTGTCACCCAGGTTCCCAACAAGATTCATCACACCTAAGAAACCCTGATTTACCATCACCACTCAGGAACCTCTCCTCCTTTGAGTGCCAAAGTATTAAAATATTCTACCCAATCCAGATCATGTTAACTGGCCCCTAGGTCAGGAGGTCAACTCATGGCTCACCATGTTCCTCTCCTCAACTTCTACCCTTACACTAGAGAACTTCAAAATCATGTTGATGTAACTCTCCAACTTCCCAGCCTCCTTAAGGCTCACAACCTACTCCGTCAGCAACACATGAGGATAGTCATACACTGTATCAAACCATTACACAGAAATGTTCCGGTTCTCTAAAAATGGCCACTCCTCTATCCAATTCTTTCTCTTCCTTCACACAACAGGCTCTTATTACCTCCCACCTAAATGATCACATCAGCTTCCTAATTGGTCTCCCTGTCTTAGATCTCTCACCACTTCAGCTCATCCTATACACTAATGCCAAAGTGACTTTCCTTAAGTACAGATCTAGCCATGTCTCTCCCCTATTAATAAATTCCACTGGCTCCTGCTGTTGGCCTTTAGGATAAACTACAGACTCCCATTTTAGTTTTTAAAGCCTTTTACAACCTAGCCCTAACCTACCTTAGCAGACATTACTCCCTATCCTAAACTGTGACCCTGCCAAACTAGCCTTGTCTCTGCTCCTCATACACAACACTCCGTCTCCCACCTCAGTGTCTTTGCACTGACTGTTCCCCACTCCTAGAATGTACATCCTTCCTTCAAGATACAGCTCAAGTACAGCTTCCACATGAATTTTTTTTTTTTTACTAACTTCCTTAATCACATGCCCTCTTCTCAAACTACTTTGTAGTTCTTCTCATGTACATACTTATACATGCCTTTGTTATCTCTCCCATTAGAGTATAAGCTCCTCATGAAAAAGTTTCAATTTTTTTTTTTTGTATTCCCAGTACTTAGCACAGTGATTGGCACATAACAGGTATCTGATAAATGCCTGTTGGTTAATTAAGTTTACAGGTTGGTTTATCAACAATTCTAACTCTCTGACCCTGGAAAATTCAGATTAGAGCCGACTTTCACAATATAGCTTACACATTTACCTGGCTGAGAAAAAACAAGCTGTGACAGGTGCTGTGCAAGTGTCTGAAGTGCTGGGGCTCCTCCAAGACAGTCCACGTCTAAAACAGATAAGATACTGTGGAGGCACACAAGCGCCCTACACTGGATAGTGTTCATCCTGAAACAAAAGTACAATGATGTGGTGATATTCAGTTCAATGATCTATCATGAATTTTTAGCTTTTCTAAAGTGACAAGATAATGGAATTGCACATTAACATTTAATGTAGGGTCTGCATTAAAATTAATAGTGGCTATTTGGTGGAAAAGGATGAAATTTGTGGTACTTAGTACAGGATCTTGGGATAAACTGAATTTTAAGGTCTTCCAAATCAAATTACTTGTGCAATTGAGATGTCTCTGGAGTAATTCATTCTTGAATCAGAGATACAGTATATGCTTATAAATTGAAAAATGACTTAGTACACTCTAATTAATGATCCATAATTTTCTATAATAAGATGAAAATGTGCTAAAAGTATAAAACTTCTTACTTTCTAATTAATGGCTTCCAAGTAGGATTCCTGGAACAGATGTCAACTGCCACACTGTTTGGAAAGGTAATTTTCTCAAAAATCTAGGGGGTAAAAAAACAGCAGTTAAGCAGTAAATTACAACACACTAGTATGATTCTGTAAGTTTCCACTTTGCTAGTAATCCTCAATATGGGTAGAGTCTCATAGTTAAGAACTAACCTAGGCTCACACTATTCTTTAAAAGGATTAATTAGCTAATTCTTATTATGCACCCCCCCAAATGAGGAAATCTAGGCTTACTGTATTTATAAGGTTATAAGTATACCATAATTTATTTCTCAAGCCATTCCCATTATCCCCAAAATACCAGAAGGAAATAGTTTACCTTCTTGGGAATGAGGTAGTTTGTAAGAGCAGTATGAACCTCAGCAGAAAGGCAGAGTGGGGACATTAGTTGTCCACTAAGTTCATTAAAGGAATTATCCATAAATGCATCACTTTCATCACTGCTAGAATATTCATCCCATTCATCATCAGAAGGATCTGGGCATGAACAATACAAACCACAAACAAATATAAAACAAGAAAATTCAAACATAACCAGGCTTCCCCATTATTACACAGGCAAAAAGGTACAGTTAAAATGCCAACCTAAAAAGAGTTCACATACCATCGCTGCAGCACATGTTGACAATAATCTCTAGGGCAATCTGCTGAGCTGTGAGTAAGGCTACTGTCTGTTTCAATTCCTTTTCAGTTGGCTACAAAAGGAAACAACAAATTTTCCATTTTTGAAAAAATGATTTTGTAATGTTCTTTGGCTAAAGTCAGAAAGACTACTTTCTCATTTGAAACAGGGCATTGTGGAAAAATATATAGTATAGTAGAAAGGCTCAAAGAGTCAAAGTTGCAAAAGGCCAGGAATTATAAATTCTATTTAACTTGAAATTAGGGTTGTGTTAAGATGGAGTTATTGATAATTAAGTTTAAGACAAGAGTTAGTTCATCCTAAATATAATGTTCCTAGAAAGATGAAGTCTTTTTAGAAAGAGCCTGTTACTACAAGGGTTCCTAATGAACTTTAAATTATGACTTTCTTATGACTAAGAAAATTTCCCTAAAGAATAAAATTTGTAACTTAAATTTTTTTTTTCCAATCAGTAAAATTCTGCCTTCTCTCTCTCCTACTCATCCACTCCCAATAGAGAAACACAAAACTCCAATTACAAATATGTACAGAAGAGCAGAACAAATTCCCACCTAGGCTATGTCCAAAAAAAGAGATGTCTCATTCTGCACTCTTGAGTTCTCTGGAATCATGGTAGGCTAGCATGACGATCAGAGTTTCTAAGTCTTTCAAAGTTGTTTGATTTCATAATAATGCTGTCAGTGTATAAAATGTTCTGGTTCTGCTCATCTCACTTTGCATCAGTTCATATAATTTTTCCCAGGCTTCTCTCAAATCATCTTCTTTATTTCTTACAGTACGATAGTATTCCAGCAAATTTATATGCCATAACTTGTTCAGCCATTCTCCCAGTTGATGAGCACCCCTTCAGTTTCTGATTCTTTGCTACCTCGAAAAGAACTACAAATACTTTTGTATAGCCTTATGATTTGTTTTGCTTAGGACTAATCCTTCCTGTTACCTACTCAAATTCGAAATCTCCCTTCTCCTTTCCTCTTCTATTTCTCTGTTGAGTGCAATGTATTTTTGTAGCCAACTGCATTCTTCCCTCCATTTACCAACTCAGATGAGAATAAGGTCCAGGTGTCAGTCTCTCTCCTCAGCCATTCCTCTTTGTACAGACTTCTACTTGGGTACCCTGATTATATGAGAAAAATTTCCCTAACCTTCCTCTCCTTTTCTCCCGTAGTGTACTCTTCTTCCATTTTTCTTTTAAAATCATCAAGACCTAACAAAACTCCTCTCAGGCCCTGTCTCATTAAGGTCCCTCAATGATCCCTGAAAATAAGGTTTAAAGAAGATGAATTTTTCATTTCCTCATATCAGAATGTAAAGTTTATTTTTGTTTCATCTCTTATGATTGCTCACTCATGTTTACCTTCCCATGACTCCAATATTTGACATAAAAAAGTTTTATGCAGCTCTGGTCTTTTCATCAGGAATGCTTAGAAGTCCTCTATTTTATTAAAGATCCATTTATTCCCCAGTAGGATCATATTCAGTTTTGCCAAGTAAATTATTCTTAGTTGTATGACCACACTTTTACTTTCTGGAATATAGCATTCCAATACCTCTGCTTTAATAGGGATGGCTGCTAAATCTTGCATGATCCTGATTGTGGCTGGCTCCTAGGTACTTGAATTCTTTCTGGTTGCTCATAGTATTTCCTATTTTACTTGGAAGCTCTAGATTTTGACTATAATATTCTTGAGAATTTTCATTTACCTGTTTTTTCCAGGAGGTGACCAGTGGATTCTATTTCACTTTGCCTTTTGGTTCTAAGAGATATGGACAATTTTCTTTCATGACTTCTTGAAATATGATGTCTAGGCTGTTTTATTAGTATTTTTTTTGTTCTGGCTTTTAGGTAGTCCAATGATTCCTAAATTATCTCTCCTCAATCCATTTTCTAGGTCAGTTGTTTTTGCATACCTTGCAATTTCTTCTGTTTTTTTTTTTTCTTCAGTCTTTTGGCTTTGTTTTAATATTTTTTGCTGTCTAATAGAGTCATTAGCTTCTATTTGGTTTATTCTGATTTTCAGGAAGTTTGATGCAGGGGAGGTTGTAAGGGTGTAAGAAGACAGGTATGTGGGCTATAAGAAATGACAAAGAGGATGATTTCAGGAAAAACCTGGAACAACTTACACGAATGAGCAGAACCAGGAAAACACTGTACACATCGACAGCAATGTTGATTAACTTATGAATGACTTAGCTATTCTCAGCAATATGATTGAAGACAATCCCAAAGAACTAATGATAAAGCATACTATCTACCTCCAGAAAAAGAACTAATACTGTCTGAATACAGACAGAAGCATGCTATTTTTCACTTTCATTCTTTTTTTTCAAACTCGAGTCTTTTTGTACAAAATGACTAACATGGAAAGGTTTTACATGATTGTACATGTATAACCTAAATATAAGTGCTTACAATCTGGGGGGGGGGAGAGGAGAATATAATTTGGAATCAAAACTTACTCCAATTAAAAACTAAAAAAATTTAAAAATTGTTTTAATATGTAATTGGGGGAAAGTATTGTATATTATATCTTACTGAGAAACTTAAAAAATAATGATAGGTATGTGTATGTGTGTGTGTTGGGGGGAGGTATTATGAAGAGTTTTAAACACCAGAGGATGTTCTATCTGATCATGGAGATGATAGGAAGTCACTGGAGTTTACTGAGTATAGGTATAACATGGTGATCCTGCTGCAGGCTACAGAGTGGGCTGGAGCCTAGAAATGAGACTCTACTTAGCTCCTCGGGTCTAAGCCATATTCTTATTGCTCAGTACACAGCCTAAAGACTATCCTCTCCTCTTCCTGGAATACCACCCTTAGGCATGAGTAGTAAACAACAGAACTGCCAGATAGCACTTATATAAGTTTAGGTCTTTCTATGCTGGACCTGGGACCTCTTCTTGCCACAACACACAGCTTTTTCCTATTCTGAAATGGTCTGTGCCAATCCTACTAGATATACTCTATCCTTAGAATCTACACACCTCCCTGTTTCCTCTATGCCAACCTGGGCTGGACAGATGACTCATGGATTTTTTCCCTGAATTTCCTGATCAGGATTCAGTCTGGCATATTTTGTTTTAAGTATTTTCATACAAACTAGAATGCAAATGTAAGTTAAAACAAAATGCATTCTAAAGTTAGATTTCTTTTTTTACTCTATACAACATTGTGAAAAAATTATAGCTATTCTGCAAAGGTGATTAGGAGTTAACTCAAAAATTTTTTGGTTTCCATTCAAGACAGAATTAATAATTGATATATCAACCATATTTTCAAAGAACAGAGGTGCTATATTTTGTCGCTAATACTGTTCAAAAAATTACAGAACAGGGTACAGTCAAAATGGCAGAGTAGAAGGAAAGACAGTGAGTTTTCCTACTCTCCCCTCCCCCAACTCCTCCAAACAGATTCACAAAATGTGCCAGACTGATTGGTTCATTTTCCCTAAGTTTCTCTCCTGCTCTAGACTCTTTCTTGATTCCCACTCTAAGATGCAGAGCACTATGAAGAAAATGTAATAACTTAAGCTGAGCTGCTCCATATGTACATAAAGGGTTATATCTTTCTTAAGTTAGAGTAGGTAACTGTTTTAGTTAAAAAAGATTCCTCAAAAAAATAAAAAAAAGATCCCTCTATAAATTACTAAGTAAAAGCATAAGATGGTATATTAACAAAGAATTTTAATCAACCAATGTGCTTAGAAAACCTGAAAGCAAGATGTGCTCAAGATAAAATGATCTTTTCTTAAAGTATAATGGATGTATTGCTTTAAGAATTTAGGAACATAAAGCAAAGGAGTAATACTGGAGACCCTAATTTCAAGTAAATGGCATCTAAAGAAATTAAATTACAGAACTGATTTTTAAGATGAAGGTATTAATCTGTTTAATAAAACTTGAAGCATATCAGATTTTTAGGTTGAAATACAACACCTCACAGATTGCCACATATGACAAATATTTTTAAGGTAGTATAAGATTACTTTGGTGGCATGTTAACCAGAAATAACTGATCTTTATATGTCATTTTAAGGTGTACAAAACACCTTATTATAGAAAAGCACATTTGAGCCTCAGAGCAGCATGCACAGGCGACTATGTTCAAGATGGAGTCCAACCTCTTGTCCTGAGGACAAGGTCCTCTAGGACCCTAAGGCTCAGGGATACCAACAGAAGAATATCTCTGATAACAATTCTGTTGATAGGCTCAGTCAGGCAAGTTTCCAAATATGTGGCTTCCATCATTCCAGCTTCCATTCTAAGTCACTGAGAACTATACTGCTTTTATGGTAGCAAAAATTAGAAATAAAGTGGTTGGCCATTGATTGGAGAATGGTAGAACAAATTGTGGCATATGAATGTAATGTACAATAGACATACTGAACATGACCAATTCACAGAAATATGGCAAATTCTATACGAAATGATGAAGAGTAAAGTAAGGAGAATAATGTACTCCATGTTTATAATAATGTAAACAAAACACTAAAAGGTATGAGAATTTTTGATTAGATGTAATGAGTAATCTTGATCCTGGAACATAGGTAATTTCCATGTAGCAATAATAAAATCCAGAAGGAAATAACGGATGAAGAACCATTCAATGGAATTAGACAATGCATGTTGTAACAATAACCATAATAGCTAACATTTATATAGCACTTACTATGTGTGAGGCACTATGCTAAGCACTTTACAGTTGTTGCCTTTTTTGATCCCCACAACAATCCTGGGAAGTAGGTACTATTATTACCCCCATTTTACAGAAAAGGAAATTGAAACAAACAAGCTAAGTAAGCATCTGAGGCCATATTTGAATTCAGGTCTTCAGGGCTCACCCACTGAGTGATCTAACATAAATTATCAGGGAGAAAAGTACTGCAGAACTCAATCAATGTTAGGTAAGCATTTCAAGTACAATATCAAGCACTACTAAGGCCTGGTAATGATCACAACATTATCCCACCAAATGTTTTCTAATCCACACCTTATGGGATTATTTTGGAGGGGAGATGAGGGGTAGGGTGCGGGGTAGGAACACAGCTCTAATCCTGTCATGGAAACAGGAGAGATAGAGGATTGAGTTTATCAGTCAATTTCACTGGAAAATCTGTAAAGGAAAGGGACGGATTACTTAGTTTTAGCTGGCACACTTTACTTACTGGAAGTAGATCTGAAATGAAAGTTTTCCTTCTGACTTTTCTTTTGTGGGGAATTTCTTCCATTTCATCATCTTCATTCAAAGTATCACCATTCATTTCATCTGTCTCCTCAGTCTCAGTCTCCGGAGCGGCATTTAACCTTTGAGTTTCAGCTTCCTTCATCTGAATAACCACCTCCCCAACATCCATTTCTAAAACATCAGAGAAAATCTTCAGGAGTGCATTTATGGTATCTGCTTGACTCTTGGATGGAAGAATATCCTTTAGATTCCACACAGTCCCTAAGAAGAAAAAAAAATACAAGTAAGAGAACAATAGATCATCATGTCACTCCCTGGCTCAATAAATTCCACTAGCTTAGATTACTGCTAATATCAAACAAAACCCCTCTGGTTGGCATCTAAAGCCCTTCACAATCTGGCTTCCAGCTTTTTTACACATTATCCACTTATACACTCTAAGGGTGTAACACAACTGGCTTTCTTGCTATTTCTCACACAGGACATTCCATCATCTGTCTGCCTTTGCACAGTGAGGAACCCATGCCTAGAACAAATTCCTCTCTTCACCTGTCTCTTAGAATCCCTCGTTTCCTTCAGGGTATAGCTCAAGTGCAACATCACCTATGTGAGGCTTTCCTTGGTTCCTCCCAAACTATTTTCTGTTTATTTTATATAAGCTTAGATGGTTATCTATTTTCCACCCTGATAGAATAGAAACTCCTTAAGGGGAGGGACTACTTCATTTTCATCTGTGTATCACCAGTGCCTAACACATAGTAGGTACTTCTACAAGACACTGGGTACTTTAAGGTCAGGTGTAATTTCAGCACTCAGTCTCATTACCCTAGTTAAGCTTACATTAAATATCAATATACTTCAAATCAGTGGCAGCTTCCTTTATCACAAGGTTTTTCTTCTCTCAATAGAACACAATCCTTTCTCAATATGCTTACATTTATTAGATAAGAATACCAGAAAACACTAATCAAATTTCTTTTTAAACCAGACAAACTGTTAGGCTTTCTTTTTCATCTTAACATGAGCTGCCCTATTCAGCAACATCTTATATTCCAAGAGTGGAACAGAATGTATTAAAATTCCAAAATTTCCAAAATCTATCTTCTGGTATACAGTTGTTCTGAAAGCATGCTTCCATCATTTTGCACATTTTGATAAGCAAAGAAAGCTAAACAAAGAGATAAGGTAGAGTAATATTTAAAAAAAAAAGGCAACTATGAAAATGAAAGCACCTTTCAAAATAAACAGGCATTTGGCTCATCTAAATGCAATTCGGAATCTATGTGGAATTATAAAATGCATTTACTAAGAAAAGATAAGACCTGGGAGACAAAAGAGGGAATTATTCAGAAATTAAAGTGATGAAAAGAGAAACGATATCAACAAATTTTTTTTAAAAAAATAAGCCTTTGCCAGCTTTCTATACAGTGATACAGTTAGGGTGTGTGGGGAAAAAAAGAGAAGGGCCTGAAATAAAACTATTGGTCATACAGCTTTGATTTTTAAAAATCAAATTTTACTTTCATTAGTTGATAATTAAGAATAGAAAATCCACAAAAACAATTTCTTTAAACAAATAATGGGGGGGGGGCAGCTAGGTGGCAGAGTGGATAGAGCACCATCCCTGAAGTCAGGAGTACTTGAGTTCAAATCCAGCCTCAGATCAAACACTTGACACTTACTAGCTGTGTGACCCTGGGCAAGTCACTTAACCCCAATTGCCTTAAAATACAAAACAAAACAACAACAAAACAAATAATGGGGAGTTCATCCAACTTATAACAAATATTAAATAAACATGCTTCTCCTTAGAGGAGAAATACATAAACTTAAATCCTCTAGACAAAGATCAAGATTTTCTGAAATATAATAAGTCAATCCAACTTTTGCTTCTCACTACAGCATTTTAATTATTTAATAATGCTATGAACTAGCGAAAAGTTCCATATGCTCACAGGAAATTATTAAAAACATCTACCATTCTGGGGGAGCCAGGTGGCATAATGGATAAAGCACCAGCAGTGCAGTCAAGAGGACCCGAGTTCAAATCCAACCTCAGACACTTACTAGCTCTGTGACCCTGAGCAAGTCACTTAACCCAAACTGCCTCCAGAAAACCAAACAAACCCAAAACAAACCACATACCATTCCCCTTATACTAAAATTATACCTGCCACTAATGTTTTCAGAAGAGTGTATTCCATAGAAGAGATAGGTGAGAACATTGCCGATTCTAGCACCTGTAGAGCCGGAGCATTAAAAGATTTTAAGAGCTCTGGGTTATCCTCTGTCACTGCTTGCAAACAAAATGCTGTGGAGACAAAAAGTGAACAACTCAAACAAATGAAAACAAATTAAATATATAATAACTGGAAAACTTAAAAAAAAACCCAACATCTTTTATTTTCTCTAATCATATGTTTAGCTTGGATATCTGTTTTTATGGTACAACTCTAGCTACAAAATAGCTTAAGAAAAAAGGTACTAGATTTCTAAGGTTTCTGAATTTGAGTATGACTTTATTAAAGCTAGAATGAACTACTTCATTTAAAATAGCCCTATGATGACAGTCTATAGTCATATGAAAAAATATGATCACATTTACAAATGGCTGAGATTTTAATATAGTGAAATCATTATAATCCATTTAGTGCTTTAAGTCCAGCCTGTCCCTGAAGAAAGGACTCAGACTACACTCTATCACTTGGATAACACTAATTCACTAAAGAGGTGGTGTATTTCTGGACTGCTCAGCCTTTAAGGCCTTTAAGGCCATTTCGATCCAACAGAACAGAATCCAAAAGTACAAAAGGGAAATTTGACTTACATTTCATTCTTGAAAATACTAACCTAAATCTATCCACTTAAAAATTAAAAAAAAAAAAAGCCTGCCCAGATCAATAAGGAAAGATAAATTTTTATGTGACCTGGCTTTAATCTACTCTGCTTCCCAAGATAAGTTCTGAGATTTGCAAGAATTTTTTTTCTCCTTCAGAATTTAGTTAAATCCACCTATGTGAAGGGCTAAGAGTCCCAACCTCCAGGCCAGGAGAATCATACCATATTCTAAAAAGACAACGTAAGGAACGTTATATTAAAATAGAGGATATAGCCAGTAAGATTTCTTAACTAGTTTTTTATTAGCCTTATTTTTTCAAAATAAAAGCTGTAAGACTAAGTAAATATACAATCCACTGAACAGCAAAATTAAAGTAATTAAAAACAAGTGACCTTATATAGCACATTAAGGTCTTCTGTTTTATTTTCATTATATCATTTAAATCTCATAAGAACACTACAAGGTTTAAGTACACTAAAAGTATTATTATCCTCTTTTTACAGATAAGGAAATAGGAATGGAGAGATTAAGTGACTGGCCCTTGATCAGAGAGTGAACTAAGTGTCAGAGGCAGGACTCAAATCCAGGTGTTCCTAACTCCAAGTCCAACACTTTTATCAAACACCACACTAAAGCATGCGGAATGCCTCAAAGGATTTCAGGAGGAAGAAAGAAATAAAGAGATGTTGTAATTGTTCATTCTGTCAACAAATGACGAAATCAAAGACGTGAAAGTCTTGGAGATTTTGTTTTATAAGGCTGACAACTTTTATTAAAAGTTCCTCAAATTCATTTTTTAAAAATTAGCTATTATGTTGTTGTTATTGTTGTTATGTTGTTTTCTTTTCAAACCTAACAACTGCTAGTATAACTTTCCCTTATTTTAAAAACATTCTCAAATGACTTTCCGGAAAGTGAAGAAATGTGGTGATGTAAAAACAGAAGATATCAATGCAAATTAAAAAAAATTTTCAATTAAAAACACCCTCACCAACATTATTTCTCCCTTTACACTTCTATATCTTCTCCATTTTAAGGAAAATTCATAATTTTTCCCAGTATGATTTGTTTCACAATTTTCTTTTCCCCCTATAAAAGAGCATTCATTGTTGCCAAATAATGGAATGTGCCTTGTCCTTGTCAGGGGAAACAAACAGTTAAATCAAAGAGCGCTAAATGCTTACCACTCTTTTTTTTGGTAAGGCAATTGGGGTTAAGTGACTTGCCCAAGGTCACACAGCTAGTATGTGTCAAATGTTTGTTCTGAGGCCGGATTTGAACTCAGGTCCTTCTGACTTCAGGGCCGGTGCTCTATCCCCTGCACCACCTACCTGCCCTTAATGCTTACCACTCTTTATGGTAAAAGGGAAAAATTGATCCGTACATACTCATTCTATTCTCAACCAGTGTATTTCTGACTCTTCTCGCCCCCAGATCTTTCTTTCTCTCACCTCTTCTAAGTTGGAAGAGGAAAAAACAAAAATTTAGTTAGCTTTTTCAGTGATCTCTGTGTAACTCTGCTTAATCGAGGGATATGAATATCAGAGATTAGTGAGTATAGCTGAGGATGGTAGAAAACAAGGACTCAAATGTTCAAATGATTCTACAGCTGCTATTTAAAGTGACAGTGGTGGTGGTTTATTTAAGTAAATACAATAATAGGAACAAACTAAAAACTATCACTTTTATACATTAAAGAATATAATAAACATGTAACTATGAAAACTTTTTTTCCCCCCAGACCATACTGTAAATACTTAATAAACCATCACTTTTTCTTCACTTACCTACTGAAATAGCCAGGTCAACATTGGTGGAAAACCTACTTAAATACTTTAATACAATCTCCAAGCACCCTTCTTTGTTGAATATAGATACTGCTCTACTACTGCATTCACTAAATTGAAGGGGGGAAAAAAAGTTTTACTATTCACATTTTAACATGAAAAAAAAAAAAACCAAACATATATAATCCCATGAACTAACAAATTTCAGTGAATAAAACCATGATATTTGCCAAACTTCAAATAAACTGACTGTTTAGGTATTAAGTTAAAAATACTAAAATGACCATCTGGATTTATTACAGGAAAATTAAAAAGTGAAAAAAGGTAAATAGGAATAACTTTGAACAATGTACACAAGTTCAATTATAGTTTAAAACTGGTAGAATTTATGGTCTGAAACAGAGACTTTAAAAATATGGTTTAAAGTTACTATCCCTAGCAAAGAAGGCCAAAATTTTCATTAATAAAACATAGCTACTCCATCCAAATACCCAACCATTATATAGAGACAGTTGCATTGATACTGTATCGATGTCTACATCATAGAAATATCCTATTATCTTTTTACGTAAGTGCACGTACACACAAAGAAAGCCAACATGTTCTTCAACAGAAATGCTAGAGTTGGGAATTCTGCTGTTACTCGGAGGCTTCCACTGAATTCCTATGGCTATATCTTACTGTGACAAGGGCTTGGCCTTTGGTAGTACTGTATACTTGGGCATCTAAGGATGAGCCAAGTTCAAAGCCTCCTGGCTTCTCACCAGAAGGCTGGCAAATTTTGGTCCACAGAAACTTATGAAAATATCCAGTAACGTGAGGAAGGATTACAATCTCTGTCAAAAGGAGTAGCAATGCTAATGAAACCGCAGATCTACTGAAATATTTTTAAAATTTCAATTTTATAAAAATATAAACAAGTGTTTATTATGTACAAATTATTGTGCTAGGTGCTGCAGGTTCAAAGACAATTCAGGCTTCAGGCTTTCAAACTGACATATACTGCAAAGTTACAACATATACACAAATAAGTACATACAAAGTTACTTAACAGGGGAAAAGAATATACTAACCATAGAAATCAGGGAAACCTTCATAGTCTATGGCACCCTAGTTGAACATTGAAACAATATGAGGATTTTGAGGTAGATTGTGGAAAAACTATATTCCATGCATGAGGGAGAAATTCCTGGGTTGACTGAACTGAGGCAGGAGATGATACGTTGAGTTAAGAGGAACATTTAGTAGTCCAGTGTGGCTAGAATATACAGTGAAGGGAAGTAGATGGAATAATGCAGAATGGAATAAAGAGAGGGCCTGAAATGCCAGGCTGGGAAGTTTTATATTTTATTTTAGAAGCCATTAACTGTGTCTGAACAGGGGAATGATACGTTAGACCTATGGTTTAGGAAAATTATTTTGGCAACAGTGGAGGATACACTAGAAAAGGCAAACACTAAAAAGTAGGGAAATAAATTGGGCTATCATAATAATCTAGGTGAGAGATGAGAAGGATGAGAAGGACCTGAATGAGAGTGGTTGGGTAGCAGACAAATAAGTGATAATGTGGAGGTAAAATTGATGGAAAGTGGCAAAAGTTAGCATAATACACTTTCAAGTGAATCTTACTTCATATTTTCAAAAGATCCACTAAATTCATCAGTATATTCCATGGATAGATACAAATAGTAACTTCTTTATACTCTAGGACATAGCTATCATAAGTTAGTATAACCAAAAAAATCATCAACGAGTCAACTTTTTGGTGATAAGCTGTTACTCTGTATGCACTTAGCTAGGTTAGTCCTTACATGACACCCATTACAACACGATACAAACTTCCAGAGCTTGCTTTTTATTGCCACAAACTTTGAGAGCTAAGGGCCACCTTCAAGTCATAATTAGCTGCTAGGTACTGAGAGGGATACAAATACAGTAGCACAGAATAGCATTAACAAATTGTTTCCAATGATTTTTTGCTACCTTCCAGAGGTGTTAATTTTATTATTCATTTTTATCAGTTTGTTAAATCTAAAATCCTTTCTTAATACGAAGGGAGTAAGGTCTGCAAGACCAGGCAATGGAACAACTGAATTCAGTTCCCACCCTCAGATATCGTTCTTTTCTACCTAGCTTCCTCCATTATTTCCGCCTGGTAATAAATGCATTTACCACTTTAATAATGAACCAATGGGGAAATATGGCTTGTTAATAACGGTTTTTAATTTATGGGCAGCTTTCCAGAAACTTTTCGTCTTTACAACAGAAAAAAATTATTACTCCTCAGGGTCAGAAGGTATGAATGAAAAGAAGGTGGAGCAGTAAAAACGAGGCAGGGAAAAAACAAATTTATTGCATATTCCCAGTAGTGTGTCCATTACCATTTCTACTGGCTGCACTCCCACTGGGATGGACTGGAAGATCAAACACATGCTTTTCTGTTTACTAAGAATGGTGGACAGTGGAGTAGCAACTCTGAGAATCTACTTAGTCTCTTCTTCCTGCTACCAATCAGTTTCTTGATTTAAAAATTTAAAAAATTTTTAATTTTTCCCCAGTTACATGTAAAAACAATTCTTAACATTCATTTTAAAAACTCGAGTTCCAAATTCTCTCCCTTCCTCCCTCCCCATCCCCCATTAAGGCAAGCAATTCAATACAGGTCATACATGTATAGTCATGTAAAAAATTTCCATATTAGTCTGTGAAAGAAAACGCATTATAAAAAAAAAATCAAGAAGAATAAAGAAAGTAAAATAAAAACATGCTTCAATCTGTATTCAGATGCCATCAGTTCTTTCTTTGGGGATGAATAAAGTTTTTCATCATAAGTCCTTCAGAGTTGTCTTGGATCATTGTACTGCTGAGAATAGCTAAGTCATTCACAGATTATCATCTTACAATATTGCTATTTTGTACGCAGTACATTTCACTTTGCATCGGCTCCTGTAAATCCAGGTTTTTCTGAAGGCATTCTGCTCATCATTTCTTATAGCACAATAGTATTCCATCATAATTACATACCATAATTTGTTCAGCCATTCCCTAATTGATGGGTATCCCCTCAATTTCCAATTCTTTGCCCAGAAAAGAGCTGCTATAAATATTTTTGTACATATAGGTCCTTTTCCTTTTTGCTTTTTTATCTCTTCTGGGATACAGACCTAATACTGGTATTGCTAGGTCAAAGGGTATGCATGGTTATATAGCCCTTTAGGCATAGTTCCAAATTGCTCTCCAGAATGGTTCAAGTCACAACTCCACCAACAATGCATTAATGTCTCATTTTACCCACATCCCCTCCAACATCTGTCATTTTCCTTTTCTGTCCTATTAGCCAATCTAATAGGTATGAGGTAGTACCTCAAAATTGTTTTAATTTGCATTTCTCCAATCGTGAGAGCATTTTTTAAATACAGCTATAGACAGCTTTGATTACTTCATCTGAAAACTGTTCCGATCTTTTGATCATTTCTCAATTGGGAAATGGTTCTTTTATAAATTTGCCTTCGTTCTCTATATGTTTGAGAAATAAAGCCTTTATCAGAGAAACTTGCCTCAAAACTTTTTTAGTTGCTACTGCTAACTGAATTCCCTCCATCTTATTTCCCTGTTTATTCTATTCTCTATCTCCTTTCACCCTGTCCCTTCTCAAAAGTGTTTTGCTTCAGACTACCCTCTCCCCCATCTGCCCTCTTTTCTATCACACCTCCTCCCATTTATCTTATCCCCTTCCCCATCCACTTTCCTGTAGGGTAAGATAGATTTCTATATCCACAATCAGCTTCTTTCTTATGTCAAACTGCCAAATGCTGCTGCCAGAATAATGCACTGGGAGTAGTTTGTGTTTCCTCCCCTCCTCTAGTTGCCAAACTGATACAACTATATTTTACCACGACTGACAAGTCAGACATGAAATGTCAGTATGCAAAAGACCTGGGGCAGGGGCATTACTGTTGTCTTCAAATGTCTGAAGGGATGTCATGAGGAAAAGGGATTCTATATTACATTTTGCTTGGCCTTCAGGAGAGAACTAGGACCGACTAGAACACTTCATGGTCAATATAAGTGGAAAAATTCCTAGAAGTTATAGCTATACAAAAAATGTAAGGAGCAGGGCTATGAGGTAACAAGCTGGGGGGATTGGGGTTAAAAAGCAAAATGAGGGTCAAGTTTCATTGCGCGATGTATTCATTCTCCTGGCAATGGCAGTAGCCAGCTCCAGGGGAAGAGAGGCAGGGAAGTGGAAATGAAAGAAGTAGCTGATATGAACAAAGAGATCAGGAGCTGGCGCGCGCGCGCGCGCGCGCGCACACACACGCACGCACGCACGCACGCACAAAACCACTGTAAATTCCACAAGGGGGAGAGTTTCCCAAAAGAATAAAAAAGAGTACCAGGTAATTGTAGGAAGGATCTACTGTAAAAGGATAGAATACTCTTACCATATATTCCATAGCACGTTCACAGCCTCATTAGCTATGTCTTCAATGTAATTTTTATTCAGCTCTTTGTTTTTCTTCAAAGAGACTTCACTGGCATCTAATCCAAAGCTACACTGCAACCAAATGTCAAAATCAGTTCCTTGTTTCATAAAAATATGAATAAAAAAGCTAGTGTAAAAAACAGAAAGGGATCAAAAATACAGTGTTAAGGGTGGTTAACATGCCAAATTATCTTGTGTCAATTCCACCACAAACCTATTTCCCTTTTTAGAATAAACAAATGAAAATAAAATATAAGTCACAATAAAATAACGATATAAAACATTTTTAATTTCAAAGAAAATTTAGAATTACCAAAAAAAAAATCCTGACCTATAGCAAAGATGACAAAAATATTTCACGATAACACAATGTACTCTTAAAAAGGGAATATAAACAGCATGTATTATCAAAATTTATGTTCTTAAATATAAATCATGAAATGATATAAAAAACAGCAGCACCTCAGAGGTAAGTCAAAAGATGACTAAAACAAGAAAACTAGGTGACAACCGAATTGTCGAGATGCAGTTAGATCAGTCATATAAATTCAGAGAACTGTTATGAAAATAAAGAATTTTACTTTCTCCAGGTAACTATGAGAATCAATTTTTCTAAGACAACAGTTACATAAAGGTTTTATGTCAGGATAATAAATCATTGAGGAAAACAGTCTTTTAAGGAACTAAAAATTTTATCTTTTCAGGGGCAATTCAGTACAAGTTCTGAAGAACAAAAAATTCTAATTTTTTTTGTATGAATCATCACAGCTTTCTCATAAAGAGAAAATTAGGGAATATTAAGAAATGGTATGAAAGGAGAAGTAGGATAATGAATATTACTTCACTAGAAAAGTTCCAAAAGTCCCACAGACACTCTACAGGAGAACCAAGAATCTGTTTTAAATACTGAATAAACTTCTCATCTTCACAAAGATAAAACTACTTAAGTTTATATTTTCAAAAAGGTTACAATTGTAGACTGCATCCACTACCATCAGCCTATATTTTTAAAAATACGTACCTCCTTTAAGAGTGCAACAAGTGGTGTCATGATGTCCTTAGTAACCATGTCATCACAAACTTCAAAACCTCCACAAGCACTGAGATTTCTAAACAAGGAGTTAAAATTATCATATTCCATTCTTGGATCAAGTGTTACATAATGTTGTTAGCCTACACCTGAAATATTTTAAATGGTTCTTAATCTATTTTTTAAGCCACATTGTAGGTGGGACAAAGACAAGCTAAAGAGAACACAGAACCAGGACTAGGATGGTGAAGGGACTGGAACATAGGACTAGGATGGTGAAGGGATTGGAAACTATGCCCCCCCCCCAAAAAAAACGTTTAAGAGAAGGCATGTTGGAGAAGGAAAGATTTGAAGGGAAAATAGGAAGACAAGCAAACTATTTTTAAAAGAATGGAAAAATTATATGAAAGAATTACATAACTTTGCTTGGTCCTGGAAAACAGAACTGGGAGAAAGAGGGAATGTTATCAGGTCATATAATTCAACTTAACATAAGGAAGATCTTTATAATTAGGATTGTTCAAAAGCGTAAGGTGCTGTCTGGGTAGAAACTGAGTTAAACACTGGTAAAAGAAAGTTGTATAGCAAAAAGTAGGTATAGAACAATTATCTCACACCCTGTACCAAGATAAGCTCCAAATGGATCTGTGATCTAGACATAAAGGGTGATATTCTAAACAAATTAGAGGAACAAAGAATTAATTTTCATACTTAAGAATAGAGGAATAGTTCATGACCAAACAAGGGTTAGATAGGACCACAGAAGATAAAATGAACAATTTTGATTACATGAAATTTAAAAGAGTTTGCACAAACTAAACCAATATAGCTAAAATTAGAATTAACTGGGGAAAAAAGTCTTTGTAGCAAGTTTCTCTGATAAGGGTCTCATTTCCAAGATATATAGGGAACTGAATAAAATCCATCCCTATCTGATCAAAGGATATGAATAGGCAGTTTTCTTTTTTCAAACAGTATTTTATGTTTTTTTCCAATTACATGTAAAGACAATTTCAACATTCATTTTTTATGTAAAATTTTGAGTTCCAAACCTTTTCCCTCCTCTCACTTGTCCCCTAAGATGGTAAGCAATTTGATACAGGTTATATATGTGCAATAATGTAAGACATATTTCCATATTAATCATGTTGTGAAAGAAGAAACAGAACAAAAAGAAAAAACACACAAAAAAATAAAGCAATAATATAGTTTGACCTGCAGACTCCATCAGTTCTTCTCTGAATGTGAATAGCATTTTCCATCATGAGTCTTTTGAACTTGTCTTGCTGAGAATCTTTGTATTGCTGAGAAGAGCTAAGTCAATCATAGCTGATCACTGCACAATGTTGCTAATATTGTGCACAATGTTCTACTGGTTCTGCTCAGTTCACTTTGCATCAGTGCATGTAAATCTTTTCAGGTTTTTCTGAAATCTGCCTGCTTGTCATTTCTTATAGCACAGCAGTATTCCATCAAAATCATATTCCACAACTTGTTTAGTCACTCCCCAAGTGATGAACATCCCCTCAATTTCCAATTCTTTGCCACCACAAAGAGCTAGAATAGACAGTTTTCTAAGTAATTCAAGCTATCAAAAACTCTATGAAAAATGCTATAAACCACCAATAATTAAAGAAATGAAAATTAAAGCAATTCTGAAATTCCACCTCACACTCAGACAGCAAAGTTGACATAAATAGAAAATGACAACTGTCGTGAAGGGATTGTGGGAAAACAGGCACATTAATGTACTGCTGATGGAGCTGTGAACTGGTCCATCTATTCTGGAAAGCAATTTACAACTATGCTCCCAAAATTACTAAACTATGCATACCTCTGACCCAGCTAGCTATACCATGATCAAAGGAAAAGGGCTCCTCTAGAGAAAAATATTTATAGCACATTTTTGTAGTGGCAAAGAATTAGAAACTGAGGGAATGTCCATCAATTGAAGAACTGCTGAACAAATTATATAAATGATGGAATACTACTGTGCTAGAAGAAATGATGAAGGGGATGATTTCAGAGAAACCTGGGAAGATTCATATGAACAAAATGAGCAGAACCAGGATAACAATTTACATGATAACAATAACAATGTGAAGACAAACAACTTTGAAAGATTTAAGTACTGATGATGAAGCATGTTACCCACCACCTAACAGAGGTGATAGACTCAGGATGCAGAATGAGATATTTTTTGGATATGGTTAATGCAGGAATATTTTGCTTGACTATGTATATTTTATTACAAGAGTCTTATTTTTTTTTCTTCTTTCTTTTCCAGTGGTGGTGGGGGGAATGGAGAAAATAGGGTTAACTGAAAAAAAAAATTAAATTTTTAAGTTATATTTTGAGAGGAGGGTTTAGGAAGCAAGCTGGATGACCATCTGTCGAGTAAGTTATGTTTCAGGGCCTAGGTGTCCTCAGATTTTTTTCAACCCTAAAATTCTAATATTATCTCACCATAGTGTAGTGGATAAAGGGCCATCCTTAGAGTCTGGAAAACCTGGGTTCAAGTCACTCCTCTCACCCATGTTTCTAGCCTTGAGAAAAATTACTTAACTTCTCAGTGCCACAGGTAATTTTAAAAGACTGTAAGTCACAGAAGACAGCAACAGTATGTACAATGGTAAGTAAGGCCTTTGGATTCTGAGATGGAGAACTTGAGTTCAAAATCCCTGCTCTGCGGTTCATTACCTGTGTCATGCTGGGCAAGTCACTTAGCCTCTCTGTACCTCAGTTTCCTCATCTATAAAAGTAAGGGACAGAACTAGGTGACCATTGAAATCCCTTTCCAGCTCCTACGACCTTACTAACAATCTGTTTTAGGAGTAATTGCATACCACAAGTTCCATGCAGGGATGAAATCACATGTAAGAACAAAAAATTAGCTACAAAATCAGTTCCCTTGCTTCCATCATTCTGGATTCTCTGGCATAAGAAAGGAGGAAAAGATTTTGACGCTAAAAACAATCTGGAGGCAACAACAGCATCATTTATTAAGTGCCTATTATGCATCAGGTGCTGTGCAAAGCTGTAGGTATACAAGAGAGGAAACAGTTCCTACCTACAAAAACCTCACATTCTAATGAGGAAGATAACAGCTAGCATTTATGTAGCTTGCAAAAGCACTTTACATGTTGTATCATTTGGTCCTCTGAATAACCATGTGAGATAGATGCCATTAATTCCATTTTGCAGATGAGAAATCTGAAGCTGAGAGATTAAATTACTAGCCCACGATCACACTGCTACTGTCTGAGGTAGCACTTAAACTCAAAGTCCACCACTTTATCTATTACACCATCTAGCAGCCTCCTAATTTACACCGAGATAACAAGTACAAAAGTAGGCATATACCAGGCATATACAAATCAAATACAAGGTAACCTTAGTGGGGAAGGCACTAGCCGCTGGAGAAAGGGGGTGGGTGGGTGGATGAAGCACTGGAGCTGAAGCCTAGAAGGAAACCAAGGAGACCACGCCCCACCCCTAGGGACTTGGAGGGTCTCCACAATCCTCTGGATCACTAGCTCATCTCCCTCTCAAGGGGGCTGAGGATCCCTAAAACCTCCCTGCTTTCACCTGGCTCAGGTGAGGAATCCCGACCCCCACGCGCACCTGGCTCATCCCAGGCGGCTGAAGATTCCCTCCCCCCCAGGCTCCCCACAATCCCCGCCTCATCTGGTCCACACCCCTTCCCCCACCTGAGGATCCCTACAATCCGTCCCCTCACCTTGGGGGGGGGGTGAAGGCCGCTCTCGCCCACCCCCCAAGAGCACACCCGCCCTCCCCGCCCCGCCCGCTCCACTCACCGCAGCGCGCCGGCCGCCGTCTCCCGCACGGCCAGGCTGGGGTCGAGCAGCAGCGGCCCAAGCTGTCGGACTGAATCCCTGCGGGTCAGGGCCGAGATGGCGGGCTGCTGCTGCGCCAGCCGCGCCAACCCCGCACAGGCGCACTCGCGGACCTCGGCGCTCGGATGCTGGAGCTGCGGGAAGGGGAGGGGGTGTCAGGAGTCTGGAGGACCGGGAGGGGGGAAGGGAGGACGCTAGCGCGCGAGTGCGCGCGGGGGGGGGACGGGGTGGAAGGGAAGGGGGACAGAGCGCGCTCGTTCCTAACATCTCCACGCGCCCCCGCGCGGCGGGGAGGGGGAAGGGAGGAGAAAGGAAGAGGAGAGAAAGAGGGGGTCCTATTTCGGCCGCTTCACCTTCTCGAGGAGCTCCACCGCCGGCGAGTCGTCCAGTCCGGCCTCGTCGTTCTCCGCTGCCTCACACTCACCCGTGGGAGAGAACGGAGGCCGTTTGAAGCGCTTGTTCTTGCTCTTGCCCATGGCCGCGGCGCCAGCGGGGAGACGCGGGAGTCTGCGGACAGGGCAGCCGCAGGGTTCGGACACTAAAGCTGCAGATCTCAAGAAGCTCAGCTGGGCCCGCCGGAGCCAACTAGGGAGCACACATGGCGAAAGCAGTGCGCAGGCGTGGCATGAGGCAGGTGGAGGTGGGGCTGGAGGCGTGGGGGGGTGCGCAGGCGCAGAAGAGAGGCAGAAGGAGCGGGCGGAAACAGACCTAAAAAGTGGGGAATCTGGTCCCTGAAACGCTAGAATTTTTTTAGGTGGAAGAATCTAACATTTTAAGAATAGTCGATCTGGAAAGGGCACTAGAATTTACCTTGCTGTCGGGTTACAGACCCCAGGAAATCTGAAGCTTGCAGAGTTTGTCACTTGTCTAATTCACTCAGTGGCAGAGCTGGGATTTGAGCTTGGGGTCCTTTTCGAGATCAATGCCCTTTCCGTGGCACGACACCACCTTAGGGAAGCTACGGGAACGTCGATTTAATCCTGGAAGAAACCCAAGAGAGCAGTTGGTCCCAGCCTTCCATTTTACAGGTGAGGAAATTTAGTACAAAGAGGTCACACGGAGGTAAGAGTTGGCAGAACCAGGCATGGAGCCTTATAATTGCAAATTCGGTTCTCTCTCTCCTGGACAGAGCTGATGCTTGTTAAAGGTATCTTTTCTACACGAATAATAGCTAGCATCTCTCTGGCCACTACTAAAGAGAACAGCGCAGCACGTTCGATCTTGGGTCTGGATTGGGCTGTCATTGCTGAAGAGGGAAGGAGCATTAGTAAATCAGTGACTCTGCGGCCTGGGACCAGACCAGAGTGTCACTAGTGCCAGAGAAGGGGCAGAGTAGATAGACAGTCAGACTTCAGCTCTAGGACTTAGAGATGACGAGCAGTTGATTAGGAAGGGTGATTATCCCTCCATGACCAGCAAGGGTCCAAACCTTTCCAAACCCAGCAGAAAATTAAATCAACAGCCTTCTTGGAAACTAGGTGGAGCTACTTTAGCTTTCTGGAAAGTGGTCAGCAAACTTCATTCTCTATGAATCTCTAATTCAGAGCTACAGGTTGCCTGAGACAAAATTATCTTCCTCCGCTACCACTCTCCACCCTCATCCCTACCTACTTTATCCTGACCCTTCCCATATCCTTATCTTGCTCTGCAGTCCCTGTCCATTGTACCCTGTGCAGCTTTTGAAATGTTTTATTTATAAACTCTCTCTCAAATTAAACCACTTCCTCTCACACTCCTTACATCTTATTCAATTCACAGAAACCTAGCTCTCCTAGAAAACATTATGTCTTTGATCTCTGTTGGTAGAGGTGTTTCCTCAACAAGGAATTGCCTATATCATTGAAATGACAGAACCAATCCCTGTAAACCCTGTAAAACTCATACAAAACAACAACAACAACAACAAACCAAAAACTAAAAAAGATAAGATAAAGATAATATTTGATGACAGAAACCATAGGGAGCAACTGTACTTTATTGAGTAAATGAATGAGGTGGTCAAACCAGACTTTTAGCAAAATCACTTTGGCAGCTTTGTGGATAATAGATTGGAGTGGGGATAGGTTTATGACAGTGAAAGCAAAAAGGAGGCTATTTTGATAGTGGCTGTGTGAGTGGCCAGAAAAGAAAAATATATTTAGGAGATGTTGTGGAGATAGATTTGGTAAGCTCTGGCAATGAATTGACTATTTAGGATGAAGAAGAATGAAGAATCATAAATGACATTAAAGTTTCAAACCCGGGTGACTAAAGGATCTTGGCCTCCTCAGCATATGAGGAAAAGTTTGGAAAAGTGGTAGATTTTGGGGAAAAGATAAAGTAATGATCGCTGAGATGCAGGCTGCAACCTCTTCATAACCGAGCATCCACTGTGACTCAATCTGTCCTAACAAAAATGGAAAGAGCTGGAAGGTTTTTCATTGATCACTTCCTAGGAGTGCAAAGCCCACTCAGCCATAGGCATGAAGTAATTTGGGGAGCAGGGTGTGGATATGCTGGATGTGTGTGGGGAGGTGGGTGGGGAAAAGGATTTGGTTTGTGCAGCTGCAGGTGTGGGTTCCTAGGATATGCTTAGGTTATAGTTACTTTGAGGGACTTTTTCCTAGAGGGGAAGGAAAAAGGCTTGGGGGGAGGGGAGTTTATATAGCTAAGGGAACCCAGCAGTGAGAAGAGGTGGAGTGGGAATAATGAATGATAATGAGTGAAGAGAGAGTGGAGTTACATTGTAATCAAATCCCACCATAACACAGAGGTTGGGATATGATCAATCCTACTTTCTGATTGGTTACCCTTTGGGGTCATGCTATTTTCCCTCACCCCCCAGCTTTGGAGTCCAATTCTCCAAACTAATAAAAATTTATTCTCAGGATAAGATCTGAAATTTATTTGTTCTGAAATATAATAAACATTACTCTTTCAAAGGGAAATTTTAATGGTTTTAGTTAATAGAATTTAAGGCCTAACTATGGAATTTGGGTTTGATATCCACCTGAAATGTACAACCTGGGGACGAATTTGATTGAGAAGCATAGCTTTGTTTTCTATCTACCTGTTGTGATTTAAATCAGTTATTCATTTAAGATTAGTCCTGAATCTATGGAAGAAAATCTGAAAGAAATCTATCCGTTAAGGATGGTTTCAGTGATGAGCAACATTTTAATTTCCTATTCAGATGTTCTTACCAAAAGTAAAAATGTGCTGAAAGTATGCAAAAAGGATTTATAAAAATCTGATGTCAAAATAAAAAAACCATACACCTCCACACAGAGAATTTTACCAGTCTTTTCAGTATCAATTTAAGTCACCCATGGAAAGCAAAATTAAGGCGCTAGATCAACATTGGAAAGCCAAAAGAGTCCTGATACAAATTGGAAGGATACTTTACTCAGGACAGAACAAAAGAATGCTAGAACTAGCTTTGCAATATGCAATTGGCAAAATAAATAAACAATAAAAATTTTCATAATGATGTTGCTGTCTTAGGGAAGTAGAACTGATTATTTTGAATGAATAACTTGGAAACATTGTTATGTTCTGATAAGCAAAAAGGTTTGCAAATTACATTGTTTCTGAATCAGAAGGTCTTTGAGCATTTTGCTATAACTTAAAACATCTCACTCATTTGAAATGTTATTTTTGTACTTTCATTGGAATTAAGCTGAAAAGGGGGAATTCTATTATTGTGCTTCCAAAAAAAAAATAGCATTTCGGCTTTCACATGCACAATACTATTACAAGTCAGCCTAGTGACCAAATTCACTCTAAAATCAAATGAATGGATTTTATCTCATCAGCTATTCAAAGAACCTGATTATAGACATTCTGGCTACAGATTTACCATTAGCAAGTCCATTTAAGAAATATCCAATAGGTGACTAAAATGATTTAGAGACAAATCTAACAAAAAAAGATAAATAGGATAGAAATTAAGGATCTCAATAGAATTTTAGAGAAGTTAGATATGACAAATATTTGGCAATAATGGAATGGAAATACAAAGTAATATACATGTTCTCAACTAGGCATTGTATTTTATAAAAACTCACTATGTGCTATGGCATAAAAGCCTCATAAACTCAGAAGAGCGGTAATACTAAACATCCATTATTGACTACAATAAAAAAAGAAGGGGGCTTTCAGAGAAAGAATTTAAACTTAAATAGAAACTAAAATAATACCAAAGAATTAGTAATTTTTTTTTCATTTTTGTTTTGCTAGGCAATGGAGTTAAGTGACTTGCCCAGGGTCACACAGCTAGTAAGTGTCAAGTGTCTGAGGCTGGATTTGAACTCAGGTCCTCATGACTCCACCGGCATTCTATCCACTGCACCACCTAGCTGCCCAGAATTAGTAATTTTTAAAAAATCATAGAACCAATAGGTAATTTCATTAAAGAAAATTACAAGAATGAGGCAGCATGCCAGAACTCTTTGGAATAGATCTGTGGTCATGTCATCATCTATAACCAAAACAGTCTTTACGGGGAAATTCTATCTCTGAACATTAATAAGAGAAACAATAAATGGGACACACATTGACCATCCATAATTTGAGAGGACTGATGATGGTAGCTGATTATTCACCTTATGACAGATAGGTGATGGATTCAGGATGCAGAATGAGACGTTTATTTTTTAAACCTGGCCAATGAGGGAATTTGTTTTGCTTTATTATGCATATTTGTTACAAGGAATTTGTTTTTCTTTGGTTTCTTTATCCAAAGGGGTTTGGACTGGGATAGAGAAAAAAAGATTTCTTTAAATAAAAAAAAAAGAAAATGATAAACCTCAACCATATGAAATAGAAATTCTGAAAATCAAGAGAGATTAACAAAAAAGCCCATCATATTGATAAATAAAACTAGATACTTAAAAAAATAGATAAATCATTAACTAATCTGATTTTTTATAAAAAGAAAAACACCAAATTGTCTATATCAAAGATGAAAAAGGAGAATTCACAACAAATGAAGAGATAAAAGAATAATTAAAAGCTATTTTGCTCAATTATTTGCCAACAAAACTGAGAAGTAAATTGGATGAACATTGACAAAAATACTCTGACTTCCAGTTTCCTCATTTGTAAAATGAGGTGGCTGGCCTCAATGTTTCAGTTCTAAATCTATGATCTTATGAAAGAGGAATTTCAGAGAAAGAAACTGAGGAAGCCATAAAGGAATTCCCAAAGGAAAAAACCCAGGAACTGATCAATTTACAAGTTAATACTACCAAACATTCAAAGAAAAATTAGTTCAGATATGGTATAAATTGTTTGCCAAGATATGGATAGAAGGAATCTACCAACTGCCTATGAGGCAAACTTGATGCCTAAACCAGGAAGATATAGAGCAAAGATACAAAGTCTAGACCAATATCACTAATGAACATTGATGCAAAATATTATCAAAGAGGCTGTAACAATAGGTTAAAAAGGTTATTCACTATGATCAGGTTGGATTCATACCAGGAATGCAGGGTTGATTGAATATTAGAAAAAGTATAAATATCATAGACCACATTAAAAACAAAAACAATGACAATCACATGAGTATATCAGTAAATCAGATGTTATTTAGCCTGGGGTTC